AGTTTTGCAAATAACAAAGCATCCTTGTGGTTGTATCACATGTAATACACTGCCGTGAAAAATTGTATTAGGCAGTAAACAAATAGTTAACATTGTGATTTCGACGACAGCCTCAGTTTAGCCGACCAGGTTTCTTGCGCGCACGTTAAGACAGGGAGAAGAAAAGTTGGCCACGTAGTCGGGTGTTCTTTGTTCTCCTCACTACAGTGAACATCGCTTTCGTGAGATATAGTCGAAGACCAACCTCTCAACAGTTGAAATATTATCAAATGTCTTGCTTCATTGGTAAAGTAATATGAAGTTGCTGCAAACATCTACTTGGCTAAAGCTTCGGCGCCTTTGCCTTCTTCACCAGTAGAGTACATCTATAGATAATCGATCGGATCATTCTGGTCCTGAGAGCCAAAACGCCTAAGCTTCGGCCGTAATAAAGTATTGTAGCAATCCCATATTGGCTTATTAATACAACAAGGATATTTAAGATTAAGCCATTTTGGTATCTTAATCAAAATCAATAGAGGAATTATCAGAAAAAGTGCTCACACTCTTCTGTGAAATAAAGCAAGCTGAAAAACGAAATGTGATAAAAGGTCGGCTTTTCAATAAGTACTCTTTATTTTACATAATATCGTCATTTCTTGTTTTTTCCAACTACAGCTGCATAACCGACACTTCCGTACAGAAAGGATAAAGCTCTCAGCGTTGATCAATCCTTGAGGGATGCGCATGCATTAAGCATCGTTGGAGGTGATTGAATGCATAGCGGCCTTTACAATGACTCGCGGTAGTCCATCGATGTATCGAGCCAGTACTGCTATCGTCCCAGACAAGTCTGCTACCAACTTGCCGACCCCGGACGGATGGAGGGCTTGGTGACCCACGGGCGCGGGGATCGATCCCATGTGTGTTGCAGGGCGCTTCTCGTGCAAAAGAAACTCTCGTACAAAAAAAGAACATTGTCTGCATTGAGCTTGCCCCGACGACAATAACATTACCACACTTTCAGGAAAAGAATCGTCTCTACGCATTCTTGCCATCATTTTACAGTAAGCTCGATTTCGATGATATTCCGGTAAATCGACGACATCTCTCTCCACCGTACACCGACTATTTCTTCAGCGGACAATGAAATTACATAGAACGGCATTTCCGTACCAAAATAAGAGTAATTCCTGATAATGCTAGGTCATCATGTGGTCATCACAATACTTTCGTTAAATGTTCAGTGTTGTAAGATACTTAGCAACAATGAAGCACGTCTGTTATATCACATCCTGAATGTTACAGTTTCAAAAATCAATAGAAGTCAATGCACAAATATTTGTATGAAGCGTACTGACTCAAGCAGGATCTGTTCGTCAGTCTTCCTCTCTCGTGATTGCCTTCTATGAATATGACCTAGTTTATTTAAAGCATGACCAGCTTTGTGATGTAGTGCTCTGCAACTCTTCAATTCCTGAGTTAAGCTGCGCTTGTATTTAGTTATAAATGGTCACATATAAGTACCGACGTACAAAATACACGTGGTCGTTGGTTCAATTCTACATCATGGGAGAGAAGAGACTACAATGCTCCGCATTCGGCATTACCACACCTTTCTACGATATATTTATTTATATGATCTTATAAACTGGTCTTGCAGAGCCAATACAAGGTTGGTTTAGGTCTTCGTTGTCGTTGCTGTTGGTGTTGTTGTTGTTATTGTCGTTGTCGTTGCCATGGTTGTTGTTGATCGATGGCTGACATTTCACCTTCCTCAGAGCCTAGACGTATTTTAGGTAATAGTAGTTCCCAGGATCGACTTTCTCTTAACCTCGGCATTGGAATATGAATGTGTCGTTTTCTTGTTCAGCAATCGCGAGGTTTTTGAATAGTAGTAATATTGGTTTTTGGTAATAGTAGTCCTATATTCGGTTAAATATTTATTTATATATTCTTATGAACTGGTCTTGCTAAGCCGATACGAGGTTGGTATGCCTGTCGTTGTTGTTGTTGTTGTTGTTGTTTTTGTTCCTGTTGTCGTTGTCGTTGCTGTGGTTGTTGTTGTTGGTCGATGGCTGACGTTTCGGTGATTTCGCCTTCTTCAGAGCCATGCTGTTACGAGTGGGAACTTTCTAAGATAATAAAAATATCCTATGTTTATCGGCAATATACATCCACTCCCTTCCATAATGGAACTAATTGAATCAAATATATAGTGTCTCCCTAAGGGATGTATCAACTCCAATCACTCCGCTTTTCAGCACGAGTAACTCCTTCATTACTTTATAATTTCATCATGACGAGTCCATACCCCCGAGAATTGAACTGTAAACTCTGAATTTTCATCCAGCAGCGCAACTGACAGTAAACCTGTTTTAAGGTTTACGGTTGTAATGGAACAGAACGAAAGAGAATGCCAGGGCACGGCTATTTCTAATTTCCACGTCAAGGAATTTTACTCAACCATTAAAAAGGCCAATCAAACGGACATTGTGATGCAGTGAACATGACTTGTGAAAGCACGTGAGGTAAAGTTGTCCATGTGCTTCATCAGATCAGAGAACTCTTGAAAGCGAATGTCTGTGCTTATGTCTGTGATGAATATTATGTGATGTTACCAAATATGATAATGAGCACGTATTATTGTTACGATGTCTTCCCAGTAACCATGCCATCTACAAAAGAACGAAGAGCGTAGCTTTGTCGATACTCGGGCTACACCGTTGCAGAGAACAGAAGATGGTAACCGTTGAATATGGTTACAACGAATCACTTATCACCACCAATCACTTATTATCCCATTATCGACCGTGATAAGCACACTGTTGGCATATTCAAGAGCAGAGCCACTAATTTTATGGCTCAGTGATGTTTCAATGAAGTGTTAATATGGTTGGCACATTTGTTAAAGTTAGTTCTTCAACTAGCAATTATGGAAATCGTCACCGTGGTGAGTTATCCTACTATGTCACTTCTCGTCTCTCTCTCGATAGCACTGAACCCAGTTAAGCTGAGTTTGTAGTCGAAATCACAATGTTAACATTTTATTTGCTTCCTACTATAATATATCTCAGCTTAACTGGGTACAATGCTGATTTGTGCTCTCCAGATAAATCCCGCTGAAGGGTGATTGCTGACGGCAGCGTCAGTTAGAAAACTAGCTGAGATCGGTGCGGGTAGTAATATTAAAAGAGGAAACATATGGAAGCTAACTAAATCATAATTTCTAAACCAGCTTAGAGATAACGAAAAGTTTTCAACATTAAGTTCATCGGCTTTCAAGGTCTCGATACCAGAAAAGCAGTTATTCTAGTGTGTTCATCCACGGATATTGTGACTGTTGTTACCATTTGGTCCTCTGATGTGATCAATCTCTGAGGGATGCGCAGCATATTCAATGCCATTATTTTCGCGAAGGTGATCCAACAGTTTTATTCACCCGGACAATTGTGGAACAAGTTTCTCTGTTACCAACAGGATGAAGGGTTTGGTTCTGCCTAAACAAGGGACTCAATCAGCCACCTTGCCTGTAATGCGAAGAATCTCGCACCACTGAGAAGAAGGTTAAAGTATTAAGCTCTTGACTACACGCCTCATCATAAAGGTTTAATGACGTTGGATAAGGAATAACTATTCAACTGCGGAACTCTAATACGAAAAGTGACGAGGTAGAAGAGGTCATAGGAACCATCAAATCTGGGTCCAAATAGTTCCGAAACGTTTAAATCTGATGTAAAAATTATAATGCCTACTGTACCTAACATTTAAATCTGCATATTTGAAGTAATGACATATATACCCAAGTTTTATGACGCCTATGGTCCTTAGATACACGCAAATCTGAGCCAAAATGTAGAGATGTCTGTAGGAACGATCCGTGAGGAAATCGAATCCGATCCGAAACGAAATCGTGTACTTCCGAGCTTTCTACCACTGAACCAAATAGAAAGGGCTTTCACTGCAGACGATATTTTCATACTAGACTCTCTTCTAGTGGATCAAAATCAGCTTAAGCAGCAACCGTCCTACACGCTAAACAAAACCCACCGCAGTTGTACTAAGTATTCCTAGAAAACAATGCCAGTTATCTTGTCTTTTCAGTCGATCTTATCGAAATGCACGGTAAAGCGACCGAGTTTTAAGAACAGAAAAGTAAATCCAACTTTACGAGAGGTAAACTTGCATGCTATATCTTCCGACAATAGTTAACATAACTAGCACATGTGAAAACACGCATAATTTTCCATCCCATACAACCCGACCGGTAAACTCGTCCGAGAAAAGATCTTTGTAAATTACCGCAGGTAGATGGTATGAGGTAATAGCTTTTCACGGACCACTTATGGCACGGCATATGTTTGATAAATTACCGAATGAATATAAAAGCAACTACAAGTAAACTCTTCCAGCAAAGCAAAAAGCCGATAATGGTATGCATTGAGACCACTGCATACAGTCCAATATGCCCACCTGCCTATGCGCTGTCACCAGTGCAAAGATCAGATATATTTGAAACATCTCATCTATTAGTTAGGATGGAGACAAATCGTCAATCGCTATACCAGGTATGAACCGTGAGATTTTCTTTTCTTGCACTTTCTCGTCTCTTCTATCAAACAGTTGAAGATTTGATTCTATTTGTTTAGTGTAACCAATGCTTCAACCACCAAGTGCACCAATGTAGTGAAGCCCAAATCACCATGATACGATATTTAGCATGATTGACAAACAGCTCCGAACATAGAATGTGTTACATTTATTTCATTTACGTAAATAAATCATCACCATTAGAGTTATCAGTCAGAGAAAACAAGCAGTCGTGGCATGACGATTCTAGAGAAGATACGACCATAATGAGATAAACAACCATTTCTTCAATAATTGGCTACGTAGATCTGAAGAAAATCTACCAACTTCGTAAACAATCAGCTTAATATACTGCGAAGTAACTGAGTCGTTGCTATGGAACTAGAATCCTTACGGAAGTTGTACTCCAATCGTTTAAGAACTTGAGATCGTCAGTACACTACAATCGAAGCAGGGCGTATTCTAGCCTCTGACAGCTTAAATTCTACTCCGAATGGGATTAAATACGGATATTCGTCAGTCAACTCAAAAACTTCGATAGAATTCAACGCCTTCTTTCCGTCCCAACCAGCCATGATAACGAGATATCGGTCGAGAAGAATCTCACATACATGATTTTCTCGAGCTATTGACAGGTGTGTGGGCAATACCTGAAAAACTACAAAATCTTTTGTTTTCGTCTAGGTGAAAGTAACGCAGCGGTAGAGATGTAATTTAATAATACGCGCAAGGCCTTTGTTCTGCGACGAACCGGACCAACCAAGCTCTTTATTCTTTCAGGATAGGGAACTTGTTACCAGACTTAGCTGTGAATGTCGCGCCTATTCATAAAAGCTGATGAGTGCCTGTGCCTGTGTCGAAGAGTCGAGGACCCCCCAGCATGGCTACCTTAGAATGACAAGGTGAAACTACTCGAGCATCATTTAACGACATTTATTCATGGGTCGTGTAAAGAATATTTCCTTCTATTGAAGAACAAATAGTTAAGATTTAACTTGTTAACCGATCAGAAACGTGTGTCACAGCAGTTCTAACTAACTGCTTCACAACAGTTTGTGCTGGCAATTAAATAGAAGGGCAATAGGCAATAGAAGAACGTGCGAGTTATGAGCTGTGGCATTGGATTGAACTCCTTGCTATCTATCCATACCGATTTCTACCTTCGCATTATGTACATGACTTGATTATTAAGAAACTGGTAATTTTCAGTAGAACGTAGTTCTAAGAACAACAACGGTTACGCTCTACAAACGTTTTGGAGTATCGTGATCGCTGCTTACGTACCACTGAAACCAAGTGCCAATTTCTGGACATCTCAATTTGACCTTTCCAGGCTCTGAAGAAGGCGAAACCGCCGAAACGTCAGCAATTGTGTTCTAATAAATTCTATATTAACAACCTCGTGTCTGCTCATTGATGAAAAACATTGAATTTCTGGACACTTTGTGCTAATACTTTTGTCACGCCCACTTTTATTCCACATCGTGTATATGTTTTATCGCATCACAGCTGGGTTTTTGATACTATATGACGAAACCATCCAACAACTGTTGAGAAGCATTTATGACTAACACTTGCTTGAAGGAAACCATCTCACACGCATACACAGGACTTGAAGGAAACCATCTCAAAAACTTGTATTACAGGCTTTAAGTCCAGTTCTATATAAAAAAAGGAGAGCAATAATTTGAAGCAATTAATTTGTTGCCGCACTGAAAAACTATCCAGCAAGTATAAGGTGGCAAACTATCTGGAGAGAATCGACATCTCTCTATGGTAACAGCTTGGAAACCCTGGGACAAGACTACCTCCGAATTCCATGGAAAAAAAATTGCCCAGCCAGCAAAACGACAAGTGGGAAATCGTAATAAAGGTCTTTCTTTCTTTTCGTTCTTCATAGAGGTAGTTCGTTCAACCATCACGTAGGGCACACCATATTCACCCGTAATCCCGTTAGTTATCATATGATTCAAGCGACGTGCACTAAAGTCTCCACTCGGTCTTGTTGCGTATCGTAACTGCTTTGTCGGATTTGCATACTTGAGGTACACAGAAATCATAACATTTTTGGTACGACACCCTTTACTCCTATTGCTTCCCATGAACAGCTTGCTAGGCCTTGTTGCAGCATAGGTTTACTCCTTGGTGTTTCCGGCTCCAAATTTCAAAACCTATTCTGTTTCGATGACTACTCGGGATGAAACCAAACTTGTGCATCATCGCATTTTGACGCATTAGGAAAACTGCCCAGGTACGATGAGGCCAGTAAACCGAAGATGGAAACAGCGCAACACAACCATACTGCTGTAGTCAAATGGCAAGTAGAAAGACAAAGACGTACCTCACTAGATTTATTTGAGATCGAATATCGCACAATTTTCTCAGTCACAGAAACACCGTCATAACCACCTATGACAAATACATGATCTCCGTAACGAGCACAGCAATGTCCTTCAACGTCATATGGGAGAATAGATTCCAATTCAATTCGGTAGGATGTGAAGCATGGATTAAAATTCAACCTTAATATGATGTTCTTGAGAAGTTCAAAAAAACAACACAAATACAAACTATGCTCAATATGGAGAGCAAACCGGAAAACGGTCTTCATAGTACGGATTTCGTCCCAACCACCAAATAGAAGCACTGCCCCGTCCGTTAACGTAACTCCAACACTATTCTTCAATCGGAAAGGAATGTCATGTAATGTAGTTGAAGACAGCTGATTAAAAAAATGTTTAAAACAATGCTTTGAAGGAGAGTTTACAGAACAGCCAATACGACTCATTGAAAGAAACGACCATCACATCTACAGCTTCTATTAGGCTTATCGAAATTAAGGCAAGATTTGTAAATTCAAACTTCATATTTTAGCCATAGTTTCTTCTTTTAATGATTCACTATTATAAATCATTGCAAAGCTTATTTTATGTACTTACACCTGTGTAATTCAAATGTAATACAAACTGTGTCACTGGGAAATTTTAAAGGCTAGAATTACAGGAGTCAAGACAGCAATTTCAACGAATCTAAGTTCAAATTCAGACGCATACAACACAGATGGCCAGGTTAATGAGGTATAAGGGCCACAGAAGTGTTAACGAATGCACAATACCATGTTGGTTTGTGAGATTTCGTGTGGCGAATGGCGTTGAAGAGAGAGGTCGAGGATGACCTCCTGTTATTCGTGTTAGTGACCTGAGGCTTTGGTATAAGCAAATACAAAGATAACTCTTTGAGAATTTGCTTCGGAATTCGATGCCAGGATCTCAACCGTTTCAGCGTATCTATAAAAAACTGGAAAGTCCAAAAAGCTCTACAAATGAATGCTGCACAAACTGAACGACAATCAAAGAAGCCATCGTGCTGAAGTATCGTCGGCGCATTCCTTTGAAGTGTACCCTGACACTGCCGTTAATTTTTATTTACTGCTTAATAATTTTAATGGCAGGGTATTTTGTGAAATATTCGTTATCCGTAATGTTGCTGAGAGATTTGCAAACCTCTGGACAGATGGTGACTGCGGTGGGGACCGAACAAAGCTATTACCCATTCCGGAGGCTAACACGTTAACCACCACACCATGTGAGTCCTTCATTTCGCCTTTCTCTCAGCCGTATTATGGACATATGATTCATATGTCATATCTGTAGAAACGGTTAAGTACGGTTGGTCGCTGTTTTACTTCTAAGGTAGCTCGAGAACGGCAGTTGTTACTTAACCGGGCGATAAGAGGTGATGTATGGAACGTAAAAATACCAAAGAGGAAACTAAAACAATTATTTATTTGGCCGGAAACGCTAATAGCGTGTTCGGTCCCCACCGCAGACACCAGCGATCCGTTGTTTTGCAAATATCTCAGCAAGATTATGGTTATATACTTTGACATATGACGAGAAGTGGATCCTCTACGACAACCGGGGACGATCGGCTCAGTGACTGGACCGTTCTAAGGCTCGGAGCGCCTCCCGAGTCGAAACTGCAGCAAAAGATGCTAATTTTGATGGCTTGCTGCTGGTTTAAGCCATCATCGTTGCTTCAATCCGGGATAAACAGTGTATTTAACTGAAACTACTTCTCCCAAAAAACTCAAATATTCCACAGAAGGTTCACTTACTCAGCTTCAACAATCACATCGCTATAGATTCTCAATACACGACTTTTCAAACGTCTCTTTTTACAATGGAAATATTATTTTCAAGTGAGGCATGGTTCCTGCGTGTGTCTTCAAATTACCAGATTTTGTGGACATCCGATGATTCAAATAGTACTATACAAAGGCTTAGGGAGAATATTCTGAAGTCGTTTGTTATACGCCATGCATCTAAATCCATTCGTAGCATCGTAGAGATGGTTGAATGCACATGTCGCGAATAGGATGATCTACAGTAGCCTATCGATGTATCGCATCAGTGTTTTTAAATTACCGGACAAGTTCGGCATAAATTTTCCGACCTCGGAGGGATGGCAGGCCTTGTTTACTTCAGATAGTTAATCACACTACTGACCATGTATGCATTACAGTACACATCTAGCTACTGTATTGTACGCGACGAATTTAAACAATTACATGGACGAAAGTGATTTAGCGTTCCAGCTTTAACACATTTCTGACAATATGCATCGACTACAATGTCAATGTTAGAGCAGACACAAGCGACAATATGCATTGGTCTCAAGGCATTTGTTAACAGCGGTTTTTTCAGAAGCATAGAACTCTTTGGTACACTTTTTATATACAATCGATAACTTCACCGTCAGAAATGTCAAACCAGTCAGACAACAGTGATCTTCTAGTTAACAAAGAAGAATGTTTTTGAACGAGTTTGCTAGTTAGGTAAAAGAAATAGCTGCTTTTGAGAAAAGCGCGGAAATGTCTACAATGGCCAGAGTTACTACCGATAACAGAGGTACTAAGAAGTCTCTACTGCACAAATGCACAAATATACGACCCCTACAAGAGTTACTTGTCTTTTGCACGTTGATGTGTCTGTCGGTAATATGAGCACTTGTCATATTTCTATTAGAAACTTCAAATTTCCTAAATTTTTAGTGCTATTTTAAAATCGCAATTCAAGAAGAATCGAGCTAAAAATAATTTAGGAGTACCATGTAAACTTCTACAACATTAGTGCAGTCTGGTTAGTTCTTATGTCAAGCGTACAAGTCACCAGGGTATTCTAATTTTCAAAAGTTATTAGCGGTCATCGAGAAGTAAACACTGCCGCGAATGGGTTAAGTCCACCAAAATGGTGCTCAGTGGCTTTCTATCGCGTCAACGTGCAGCATTTAATTAAGTTCAATTCGTCATGACATCCTCCACATCGTTTTCTTGGAGATCATTTGAAGCCATAAAACTTTTCTAGTGACAGGCATAAACTAGCAAAATAAAAAAGAACACACCTCCTTTTCACCCAGCGTGACTAACTGCACCGTTTTTAAGCATTCGGTCCCATTGTAACCCCCAATAACAGCTCCAAGTGAATTCTGAAAGACAAGAAATTTGCCGAAGGAGTAAACTAAGAAGAGAGAAAAATCCCATATAAGCAATGAATACTACTACATAAGAAGACTTGGGCACCTTTTTCGAAGTTCCACATCCGAACAACTCCCTGTCGATTATCTGATAGTTCGCGGGATAAAAGAAGTGCGGCTGAAGTCTTTATGCTACTGTACGATGGATACTGTACTCAATCTTTGTGTAGCTTACTCAGTTCCCTACCAGTTAGGCCTGCTGCTTAAGGCCGAGTGTCTTTATGAGAAATATGAGGCCACTTCTTCTCAATCGCAGGTGCAAGAAAACCGGAATAGTACAACTTGACCCGTCCAGACCTTTCATCAAAAGCAAATGGCTACCCGAATAGCAGCAGATCCTGCTAGGATCGTGTTGCTCTCGTTGAAGGAAGAGCTTGGACAGAATGTCGATTTACTAATGGCTAATGGCTCTTCGAGTAAATGATTCCTTCATCTTCTAGGTGGACGTTAGCGCGCCATTGCAGGGCGTTTGCTCGTACAGCATGACTGCTCGAATTTGTGAAGCATCCATCTCGACTCCATGCTATTCGTTCTGTGCTTTTTCAAATCCTTTCTATATAATTTCCCTGAACACGCACTGATATGATGCGTATCAGTTCAAACGCGATGGAAAAGAAATAACCCTGAAGAGAACTCTGCAAAGCGTAAGTTCCAATCTAACATATCGAAACAATGCTCTGTGCTAAAAACCGCGTCTAATCCAATTAATCGAAACAAAAAATTAGGAGAAACAAAACTTTGCAAAGAAAAATGAAGATCAGACAAGCAATCGTCAATCCTTACTCCCAAATGGAAAGAAACGGCGCAGCTTCTGCCACCGATAACATTAGAGAACACTGACGTTTTACATTCCCACTGATCGCCGTTACGCTCAATACGCTCACCACTGGCCAAATGAAGATTCTTCTTCTGACATCCTACAATGGTACTAAATTTATAGGTTATTCTCATCCAGATACTTACCTGATACTTGAATGGCCCGTCATCACTGGTTGTGCGGGCCACAGCATAATCTCCACTTTTCGGAGATTTGCTAGTTAAGTAATTACGGTTCCCTTCTGAGAAGGAGTCCAGCGTTTCCATCAGGAAGCCTAGCTAAGACTAAACCAATACCAGGATCCACCACCATCCTGATATCAAACTAGTCGCATGGTGGCAAATCCTCCTCCGATCCACAAGAGCGGCGACTGCCTGTGGTGGAGACGGCCTAGGCAGACTTTAACTAGACTGACCTCGGGACTGCAGGCAACCAAAATGGCTAGACCAGCGAAACTCCGAAAAAATAAAAATTAAGATAGGCCATCCAAGTATCCAAGTAGTAAAAGTAAAACACGATAAAACTGTTCTCAATCCGTATTGTTTCACCTTAGTGGAAGCATCCCTTCTACGAGAATTTGAACTGTGTTCAGACCATAGTGTTGACGGGATTCCGTAGCTTCCCATGCGAGTCCTTCGTTTCGCCTGTCTCTCAGCTAGTTCTATCGATCTTTGCCACAGCAATCACCCGTCAGCTGGATTGATCTGGGGGCCCAAATCGGCAACGAACCCAGCTAAGCTGAGGCTGTTAGCATCATTGTGGTTGTACTTCACATCATATCCTACCGTGAAAAATTATAGTAGGCAGCCAATAAAAAGTTAACATTGTGATTTCAACTACAGCCTCAGCTTGACCGTGTTCAATGCCGATATGGGCCCCACAGATTAGTCCCGTTGACGGATGATTGCTGATGGCACTGATCGATAGAATAGCTGAGAGAAAGGCGAAACGAAGGACTCGCATGGTGTGGTGGTGAACGCGTTGCTCCCCGGAAAGGACAATAGCGCGTCCGTTCTCAATAGTTCGCACAATAGTACATACACCTACGGTCCGGAGTTTTGCAAATATCTCGGCATCATTGAAGTTATATTTCGCAATATACCCTGCCGTTGAAATGAGTAGGCAGTAAATAATATGTTAAAATTGTGATTGTAACTCCAAACCATTATATTTGCTCGGAAACAGCATCGATATCAATTCGTAAGCGGTTTCATCACATTGATCTCCAAAATTGTTGACGGCAAGGA